GCTATCTGTAAATGGTCGAGTGTACGCAGCATCCGACTGGAGTTTGGTGGACACCATGTCTGTTTTCAAGAAGGATCCCACCACAATAGTTACAATCACTGAGACAGTAGTCTCATTTCCGTCGCATCCGAGATGACCGCGTCGTTGATCCTTCGCAGACTCCGTTAGATATCAGAGCGTCATATACACGAAGAACTAGTTGGAATCCGCTCCAGTCTGAGCTGCGTTGGCCACATTCACTCTGCATCAGATTCTTGAGCAACGCTAAACGATAGTTAGCTGTTTAGGCATAAGTGCTGCGTCTGAGTCAGTTGAGCTGCTGTCCAGACTTGCCTGTTAGTAAGCCGCGTGCCTGAGAAGTACGTACACCTCAAAGCCGTCTACTCAAAAATAGGTCACCTCAATGTCTATGACCGCATCTCCCTTCATTCACCACCACAAGATGAGTTTGGTAAGTTTGCTCAGCTTCACCCTTATTTGATTTCACAGTGGATAAAATCCCAAATAGCGCTTTACACAACGGTGTGAAACTTCTCCACGGTAATCAACCTCGTGACTTAGAATATGCAAACGACATCTTTATACTCTGCAACTTCTTCCAAGACGCTTGAAACGTTCTGTACAAGTTAGAGTTACCTATCACACAGTTTTGAATAATCTTTCTCCACATATCTTGAGAGTTGTCTCAACTCACTAGTACTGACGAATAAATATCAGCAAGTATCCGCAAAGCCTGCATAGCTTTCGCTAACCTAATTCACTTGTGGTGTCGACGCGATTTCAGTCTTTCTGTGAAAGATCGAGTCTACAATGCCGTCATACGCGCATACTCCACGTCACCTAGAGGACCTATGAAGACCAAGTGTCTTCGACTACCGTTGCCTTCGTTAAATCGCCAGAATACGTTGGCAATAGCGAATCGCCAACGGTGGGGTTCGCCAAGGAATCTTTGCCTCAGATAGTCCTAGTCGTATTCTGAGTGCCTCCATCTCACTCCAAAGACTTCAAGCACTGGGATATGTATTGCGGATGCCGTTTCAACGACTGTCCCATAGTGTTATGTTTCGGCACGCCGATACTAACTGCAAGCTTAGACAAGGTGGATAACGAATAACCTGGGATCGAATTATGGAAACGTTAACATTGAAACTGGCGGTTGTAGGATGTTCTGGACTCCCAGGTTGGGGTCTCGAGGATAGCGAGCATTGGGACGTGAACTTCGAACTGGACAATGCAGAAATACTCAGAATAGGAGCCACAAAGTCATTGCAGGAATTCATCGAAACGTGGCAGTCCAGATGCGACGGTATAGATAGGCATATAACCAAGGAAGCATTTGTGACCGTGAACTGCCCCAACCAGAACCGGTTGTAGCCAGTTTGGAACCGGTTTGCGGTTGATCCAAGAAATCAAATCGGTCAGTGGATAAAAGGTGGGTCACCACGACAACGGACAAACCAATCAAATCACAGACAATAACCGTAGATGACCAATAGGCTTGAAGGGACGCAAACAGCCTTCCAAAACCTTCGAACAGTACCACATAAGCCCGGTCACACTGAGGGCTGGCGCTTCTCCAAAGTTGCACTGATGATGTTGTCTAACCTGGCTACGAAAAGTCTGCAAATCACACTTTCAGCTCGGAGAACTCACCAATACAAACATCCGCTTCCTGGGTTATAATCATTCCACGTTATATCCAGTTCTATAACGTGCTCATGGGCAGAAAACTGATAGGTTGCTCAGGCCCTGGGGATTTTTTTTCTTACGGAATTCACAAACGGAGACACGAATGGCTAAAGCCTGCTCCGTAAAGGAGCAAAGCGGTTTGTAAAATCCGCACTTCATTTAGGAACTAGTGTTCGGTTAATCGGATCCTGCGGGCTCAAACTTCCAAGGTGTCCAATCCAGCCGGTGAACACTGCCACGACCAAGATGTGTGGTCGTATTCGAGCGTTTCGCGAGGTGCAGCGTAAGGGTGACCAGCAGCAACTCAAGTCACCTGCTCGCGACCATGCCGAGTCTTTCGAAGGGGGTAATGATTCTAATTCACGATGTTATATTTACAGGTCCTCTGTCGTGTACGATCTGCTTCGGTGTATGTTGTCCATTGCAGTTCATGCCACTCCGCTGCAGTATTAGAGCGCTGTGGTTTAGTCCCTGCCACCGACGTGCTTGGGACCCATGGTTCGATGTTCGAGTCCCGCCACCGACACCCAACTTTGATGGTAGACGTGGCGTTCGTACATCTCCTCAATTTCTTTCCAACCTTCGTCCACTGAAGTTCTCCATTTTCTTTTCGAATCCACTTTCAACTTTCCTTTCTTCTCCTATTCTTCATCCCAATAGGCAGCCAAAAGACAGCAACCAAAACCGGCGCACAAAAGTGCATGGTTAATGGTTGTTCAAACTGAAACTGAACTGGCAGACAGCTTTACTGTCGTCCGGCTCAATACCACGCCTAACCTAGTGAGGCCTTGTGGTTCGTTACTCCAAGTCCTGGGGCTTAGATTACCGGCTTTTGTCACTGAACACTCGGTCTCTGTGATTTTGGGGCCCACCCCGTCTGTTGTGCATCACACAATTGTGTAATAAGAAATATTAATTTCAAATGGGAATTCATCGTGTGTATAGCAAATGAAGCGTGAACTGAAAAGCTCGGAAGCACTGGACAGCTGATTCGACCTGGTTGGGTCTTATCAGCAGTGCGAATCCATCGACCCGACTGGGGAATCGAACCCGGGACTTCATGGGCAGAACGCAAGCGTGCTACCCACTACGCCACCGCGCAGCTAATCAGACCGTTTTTCATTTTCCATTTACACGATATAGCACAACCCATCTTTGAAATCCTCCATTACTCACATGAAAAACTATTAGTTGTTTGAATCTTTTAAATATGAGCTCAATGATACTTAGTTATTATTCATACTGACATTCCTAGTGGAATTGAATCTAAACTGTTGAGTGGGATCATTCATTTATATTTGGCTAACCTCGAGATGCAATTTCGCATATCTTTTTGTTCATTATTAGGTTCTCATTAAAGTGGATGAACTAAAAGCACTCAAAAGACGGCGCTCAGAGCGCGCGTATGCTTCTTGGAAAACGCGTTGCAATGTTGCTAACAGGGGACCTTCTGCTGGCCCATCAACCATTGCGGTCCATTCTGCGCCGACTTCAGCAACAAGCGCCAACTCTAACGACACTCTTAAGGCACTCACGTGTAAGATACTAGACATGATCGTAAAGTTATTCATTCCAATCGGTGCTACAGTTTTATGCCTATCCATTGTGACTCGAGAAAAGTCACAAAAGGTTGTCTCTTGTTGTATTCGTNTCATTGAAAAGGCTCTTGGTGACACTTTATTTCTGTGTTAACTTCATTTATGCCAATTTTCGCACAAACAGTCTTTATTGGATTTGCTAATCACGAATAATAGTAAAAACTGTACAACTCACGACAAGCAGGTGGTGAAATTTTTCAATAACGAGAGTCCGATACTCGGAGAACTAAGCAAATCTTCCTGTTGCGATAACGGCGCTACCTGCCGTTGCTCATATTCCTCCTCCCGTAGATGACTGGGTCGTCAAGGTATGCATGTGTTTCAGGTCTTCGTTATCGTTTTTGTCAATAATCCTTTGACGCAGACAGCATTTGTGGCCCTAGAGTAGACGTAGATCTGATGGAGCCTGCCACAGGCTTTCAATACGTTGATTTTGGTTGCATTTTTATTGGTATTGGGTGGTATGCAATGCATAGGTTTAATGTTCTATTAGTTGCGTGGCTGAATATCTGATAGATGATCCCGTGCATGTGTGGTAAAAGTTGGGCGTTTGGATGATCGCCGGTTGTGTGGCTGATACTAAAGAACCGTTCTTCGTTTGTGGTTTTCAATTGTGGTTAATAAAACCTTTGTCTGACAATGAATGCAGCAGCAACAGCATTGTACAACGTAGTCAGATGACGTGGCGAAGAGGTATCGATAAATGTGCAGTGCGATTAAATGGACTAGGTGTCTCTCGTATTACAACCTCCACTCTGAAGGACTGTCACAGGTTGGAAACAGTACAGGAAATAGCAAAAAACCGTCGATAGTGGCCTCCTCGTTGCCACTTAGCAGGCCGGAGTGCTTGTATGCTTGAATGCGCAGTTAGACTGTTGATCACAGTGATTCACTTTCTCCCCCTCCTTCATTACAGGTCCCCATATACCTAACACATTTATACTAACCCTGTATATAGTGAGTTTGATGGCGATCAGCGGAATTCGCTTCATTGTATCCTTTTGTGTGATAATTTTGAAGACATTTAGGGAAACTGTTACGACCCGTGCTCTTCTCAGAAGACGTGTTACGAAATCGAATTGCCTGGCGATAAACTGCTTTACAATTGATTCAATTAAGTAGATTTCGTAACTTTTAGTATTTTCAGAATCCAACTGGCAACCAAAAGACAGTGACCAATACCGGAGCACGAAAGTGCATAATTAATGGTTGTAAAAACTGAAACTTAAGCGAAATGTTATCAATGTAATCAATCTGAGTGTGCGAAAGCCTATAAGATACTAACGATAAGCAGTCCCGGACTTGCGCGGCAGTGTTCTTGGAGGATCGTCAAACCTTCCGGTAATAATTGTTCTTCTAATGGTCTCGTGTAAATGCTTTATTTGTTCTGTCTATCGAAACCATAAAAGAAACTCGTCGGTAATGGCATTAGTAGCGTCAAAATTATTAGTATTTTCAGATGAATTCTAATGATGATGGCATCTTTTTTCTTTTCCGTCACCAGTTTGCAGTAGCGTCATCTAACCAGCATTGAGTTGGCAATATGACCACTTGTAAATCGATTACATACAGGATAGGTTATAATAAAAAAGTCATTTATTTAAGATAAAAGAAGGAAAGGCACCTTTAAAAGTTAGCTGCGGAACATTGTCCCAAGTACCAGTTTGACTTCGTTCAAAGTAATAGGCGTTTGGCCCACTCGGGTTCGTGCAGTGTGCTAATTTTGGTGGTGCTTGACCCCTTTCCCGTAGTTACCCTAGGTTATTCAATTTGGAGGTTCCACTTCTTTATACTCGCACATCGTTAGTCAGTTTTGCTCTCGAAGTTCTTGTTTAGTTTGGTGGTGGCGCAGTGGTTTAGTCGCTGTCACTGGCGTGCTTTGGACCGAGGTTCGAGCCCCGCCACCCGACTCTGGTGGTAGGCAGCTCTGCTGTCGTCCGGTTCAATACCACGCC